ACTCAAGCTGGAAGCGGTCCCTGGTGAAGGTGAAGGGCACGCCTGGCGCTGCCAGATGCCTGGCTGCAGCGCACCCCGCTCTTCCTCCCACACCCTCAGCAGCACAGAGTCTCATTCATAAAGGCAGGCAGGCCACTGTCACGTGAATGTCAAACTCCTACGCAGAGAAGGGCAGAGGCTTTCCCCACAGAAGGAACAACACTGTGCTTAGGGCCTCCTCGCTTCTTCCCAGAGTCCACAGATGACACAACCCTCTGTCTCTGATGCTGGAGTCGGGGTCATGACCTTCTGAGGGCAGGGAAGTGGGGGACACAGCAAGGCTGGTGGCACTTTTTAAAAATTAAACACCCTTTGGCTCAGTGACAGTTTTAAAAATGTTGTGACATGCTGCAGTAATGGGGTTTTCAAACCTCTTAAAGACTTGGTCTGGCCGATGACGAAATCAAAGACTTAGGGACAATGTTGCAGTGTATTCAGAGTCCCTGGTTAGTGTGAATGGTTAACATGCTCGGCTGCTGACTGAAAGGTTGTTGGTTCGAGTCCACCCACCCAGAGGCAGCTTGGAAGAAAGGCCTGGTGATCAGCTTCTGAAAACTCAGCCACTGAAAACCCTGCAGAGCCCAGTTCTGCTCTGACATACACGGATCACCATGAGTCAGCGTCCACTGGATGGCAACATGCTTTTTAAAGACTACAGAGCAGGCCTGGCAAGTAACAGACACTAAGTCGGCATTAGCTATTACTAGGCTGCCCTCATCATCTTTTGCCCCCTGCCTCCCTGTTGTTCCCCACTCTCATCTGCTCTCTCTTCTGTCTCCAGAACTATTTTTTCACAGTAATGCAGATTTTCACATCACTTCCTGCTTAAAGCCAGCTACCTTAATGGGCCACCATTTGTCTGTCATTTTGTCATACTTTGCTGGCTTTTATGTTCAGAAGAAGATGTAGAATGATGAATATCACTGCTGATGTCAGATGGATCTTGGCTGAAAGCAGAGAATACCAGAAAGATGTTTACTTGTGTTTTATGGACTATGCAAAAGCATTCAACTGTGTGGATCATAACAAATTATGGATAACATTGCAAAGAATGGGAATTGCAAAACACTTGATTGTGCTCATGTGGAATTTGTACATAGACCAAGAGGCGGGTGTTGGAACAGAACAAGGGGACACTGACTGCATGGTTTAAAATCAGGAAGGAGTGTGTCAGGGTTATATCCTTTCCCCATACTTATTCAATCTGTATGCTGAGCAAATAATCTGAGAAGCTGGACTATATGAAGACGAACATGGCATCAGGATTAGAGGAGGACTCATTAACAACCTGTGATACCCAGATGACACAACTTTGCTGAAAGTGAAGAAGACTTGAAGCACTTACTGATGAAGATCAAAGACTACAGCCTTCAGTATGGACTATACCTTCACATAAAGAAAACAAAAATCTTCACAATTGGACCAATAAGCAACATCATGATAAACAGAAAATATTGAAGTTGTCACTTCACTTGGATCCACAATCAATACCCATGGGAGCAGCAGCCAAGAAATCAAATGATGTATTGCACTAAGCAAATTTGCTGCAAAAGACCTCTTTAAAGTGTTAAAAAGCAAAATATCACTTTGAGAATGAGGGTGGGCTAACCATTTTCTCCCCAGGCCACAGCTTTTTAAAGTAACACAAATGGTTCAGTGATTACATTACAATCTAAATTGAATTGATGATAAGGGGTTGTGGCCTTTAGTGTGTTTTTGAAGGTGAGTCTTCTAAAGTGGGAGCTCTGGTGGCATAATGCCTAAGGCATTTGACTGCTAACCAGAAGGCTGATGGTTCAAACCCACCAGCCGCTCCTCGGAAGGAAGGCTGGGCAATCTACTTCCGTAGTGATACCGCCTCGGAAACCCAACGAGGCATTGCCATGAGTCAGGTCCGACTCGACGGCACATAACAACAACAACAACAAAGTCATGTAAGTCATGTTGTCAGTCTACATGGACTACATGTCCAACTATGGACTCCATGTCCAACTATGGACTCTCACACTAAAATATCCAGAATCCTCCCAAAGGACCAAACAGAAAAAAAATGGCAATGATCCATGCCCTCTACAATATTCTTTTGGATAAAACAGAGAAACAAGAAATAAAATCTTAATATTCTTTAATACTAGTAGTCTAGTAAGATCTGTAAATCTATGTTGAAACATCTGTCTCTTCTAATGTTTTTTGAATTTTCTTTCCCTCACATTATTTCTGTCATTTTCAGGTGTCTAACTTCCAGACAAGATAGTCCTAGAATGCTCTTTGGCTCACAGCAACTGTGTCTTGCGGGAAACAAACAGATAAACAAACCACTGTGGCTAGTGACAGAGGCTTTTACAAGCATACCTTCCTTGGCCCCATCCTTTGCTCCAGCACAGCCCCACGAGGGGTTGGGAGTGATACTTGCACCAGGGGGTCTCTTCTCAAAAGGCAGTCCTAATACTTGGGCAGCCTCCTGGCTTTGGGGTGCGAGAAGCCGCATCCAAGAACATAATCTCAGTCCCTGCTGGCTTCACTCTGGGACCTTCACACCAATGCAGCCTCCAGACAGCAGGGAGCAGAGCTCCAAATAGTCCTCGATGCTCTGGGCCTTCCCTTGTTCACAGCCTCAAAGGTGATGGAGGGAAGAGCAGGAGGTGGCCCCAGGCCACTGTGGGCTTGGATCCCAGACTGAGCCCATGCCAGATCTGCAGAGTTAAACCTCTGGGAGCCTCAGTTTCCTCAAATATAAAATGGGAATGTCCCCTAGCTGTGGTGATGTGTATGTTCAGAGTCTGGTGTTATCAGCATAAGATGACCAGCGACTGGCTGACAAGGCCTCATGGCAGGAGGTGCTATGCGCTGTGGTCTGGGTGCCTCTAGCCTGGGCCTCCTTGTGTGTGGGGGTTGATAAGAACACAGACTTGTGACACCACTGTCAGGGTTGCAGAGGAATGAAACCGACCAGGGAGTATGTGGTACCTTTTTTATTTAGTCTTCATTTAAACATGTGTTTTTGGAATAGCTTATTAAATAGGATCTTTGCAAAATTCAATCCTCACAATATTTACAGTGAACTTTGCACAAACATATTCTGACTGTGAGCTTTCTGCTCCCCATTTTGTGTCAATAATTTACAAATTTATATCACAACACAACCCCAGCTACTTCTTCCATTGTGTCTTTGCCTCTAGTTTTTCAGTTTGGCAAGTTCTAAGCTAGGATAAAGAGTGCTAGGAAAGAGCTAATTCAAGCACACAGGAAATAAAATCTTTCTTTTATCAAGAAAGAGTTATAGAAACTTTTTGCTTTCCAATTGAAAACGTGTCCCATGGTGTGGTGGGACAGTATTAAGTAACCACGGAAATGTCTGATGGCTGGTTCATCTTCATTTTTTTGTGCACTATCATCTCTTTTAATCAAATAAGCAGAACTGGAGAAGTCAAAGCCTTTGGACTGTCAGGACATGTTAGGGAAACCACCTGATTCAGACTTAGGAATGAAAGCCATCAGGGGCTGCCCATGGAAACGTCCACAGCACTGGTGAGAGCTGCGCCCAGGGAGGTCCAGCAGGCCTGACCATCTGCTCAGGATTCCACACCGCACAGAAGAGACACCCACCTGGGCCCCAGCCATGCCGGGCGAAACCCTGCTAATTCTTCAGATGCAAAACCTACGCAGGGCACTGATCAACAAGAACACACTTCTCTTTGCCTCTTTGGGTGGAAAAATATCTGGTTGAATAAAAGAACACAGCACCCAAGTATTACAAAAAGCATGGGTTCTTATGGAAAGCAACAATATATGATTTAGAAACAGAATTATGAAAACATACACATTAGCAATTGTACCTTTTGTGTTTTGTAAATATAGCTTAAGAATTCCATTTTATACATCTGATGTCTAAAAACAAACCATGACCTTCTCTTTTTTTCTTGGTTCCATGCCTTGTGGGAAGAGCACAAATCAACTCTTTAATCACCCTGGTATGCAGAAGAGTATTTGGGACCAGAGACCTATGCGTTCTGTACCTATTCACTGAAGCCTCTGATGTGCAGTTAGAGAGGGGCAGCCTGCTAGAAAATAAACTGAGGAAACAAAGTTTCTAGGAATTTGAGAAGCTGTTCATGCATTTAATCGTTTCCCTTCTGCAGGAGGGTTCCCTAGTTAGAAATGTGGTCTGCAGGTCTGTGCAGCCCTCAGGCTCTGGTCTGAACCTGCCAGGCCTCCCAATGCAGACTCCTACTCTAACACACTTTACCACAGAATGCCTGGCCCCTAACGACAGGCATGAACAAAACAGTCTAAGCACTTGCTACCCTCCAGAAGTCAGTGTGCCACAGCAGAGACTGCGTCTACAGCCGTGGATCTTAACCACCTGCCCACAGTTCTCAATTGAGCAGGTCAGACCCAGGTCCTCTGTGCCCTGCAACAACTGCTAATCCTAATTTTACTAAATTGGCCCCAACCAACCCCACAGCAGGGCAGCTTGGAGGCTGTGGGCTTCAAGTTGAGTGGGTGTGCTAAAGGGATGGAATGTGGGATGGTGGAGGGTGGAGCTGAGAGTGGGGCATCTGCCCTGGAAAGTCAGGAACTACTCCTTTCCGTGGAAAGATAGCAGGCAAGGAAGAAAAGTGCACACATCAATGGCAAACATTAACCTGCTTGCTTAGCTCTTTCAGGGCGTTATTTAAGAAATGTGTTTGTCTAAGTGCAGAGAGGCAAGATGATTTGGCACCCAACCCTCCCCCAGCCCAAGTCTCCCTGGGACCCAATGGTGCCCACCATGGGGCTCTTATTTGGTGGCTCATGGCGACCAGGGTCAGCCTGCAAGTGCACAGTCCTACTGATTTTTGTGAACAAAGGCTACCATTGCTTTTACCACCATCCAATACAATGGCTTTGATTTTGCATAAACAATCACAGACTTGATTAAAGTAGATCTGTTATTCTGGGTTAAACTTTTTTTTTTCTTGCATTCAAACATTTATGTTCCATCTACCCTGAACAATGGATTGAGGAGAAAACAGGCACCTCCAAAGCCTAGCCAAGAATGATTACTTGCTGAAATGACACTCATTGAACAAACTGAGTGAATGAGAGGAAGGACTAGACTGGCGTTGGCTCTGTCTTCAAGGGGCGGTTTTCTTCAAGTCTCGAATCTGCTTAATCAAGTAGTTCTTCTCGTCAGTGAACTGCTCGTCGTCCATCCTTTCTTTCTGGAAGGTGCTCAGAAACTCAATGAGTTTGGGTTGATTTTTCAATAGGATCTCCACAATAGGCTGTGTTTTGTGAGGACTGGCCACAAACACCTGAAACACAAAGAGCAAAGACCCACTTACTCAAGGGATCTACAACAGGCAAGTGTACGGGGCCCAAAGTGTGTTAGTGGTCACCAGGAGGGAAGGGAAAAGGGAACTCACTGCTCAGGGGAAACTGAGCTTCTGTGAAGGATGATGGGAAAATTTAGGAATGGATAGTGGTGATGGCTGAATAGCATGATGGACATCATGAATGTCACTGAACTACACATGTGTGAAATGACAAATGTTTTGTTATGTATATATTTACCACAATTAAAATAAAACAAAACCAAACACCTGGAACAGGACGCACTCACCAGGGACCCTGACAAGCCGACTCGTGTTTCACACAACAGAACGAAACACTGCCCTGTCCTGTGGCCGCCTCATAACTGTTGCTATGGTTGGCCCATCGTTGCAGCCACTGTGTCAGTCCATCTTGTTGAGGGTCTTCCCCTTTTTTGCTGACCCTCTGCTTTGCCAAGCATGATGTCCTTCTGCAGGGACCGGTGCCTCCTTATAACATGTCCAAAGTACATGAGACAAAGTCTCACAATCCTACCTTCTAAGGAGCACTCCAGCTGCACTTTTTCCAAGACAGACTTGTTTGTTCTTCTGGCAGTCCATGGTATATTCAATATTCCTCAACAGCACTGTAATTCAAAGACATCAATTCTTCTTCAGTCTCCCTTATTCATTGTCCAGCTTTTGCCTGGATATGAGGTGACTGAAAAGACCATGGCTTGGGTCAGGTGCACTATAGTCCTCAAAGTGACATCTTTGCCTTTAAACCCTTTAAAGAGGTTTTTTTGCAGCAGATATGCCCAGTGCTTCTGTGAATTTAAGCCTCGAGTTGCAATAGTGAGAGATTCTATGGGCAAAATATTGAATGATGCAGGAAACATCAAGAGAAGATGGCAGGAATACACAGAGTCACTGTACCAAAAAGAACTGATGGATCTTCATCCATTTCAGGAAGTGGCATATGATCTAGAACCAATGGTAATGAAGGAAGAAGTCAAAGCTGCAATGAAAGAACTGGCGAAGAACAAGGCTCCGGGAATTGATGGCATACCGATTGAGATATTTCAACAAACAGATGCCCCATTGGAGGCGCTCACTCAGTTATGCCAAGAGATTTGGAGGACAGCTACCTGGCCAACTGACTGGAAGAGATCCATATTTGTGCCCATTCCAAAGAAAGGTGATCCCACAGAATGTAGAAATTATAGAACAATATCACTAATATCACATGCAAGTAAGATATTACTGAAGATAATTCAGAAACGTTTGCAGCAGTATATTGACAGAGAACTTCCAGAGGTTCAAGCCGGATTCAGAAGAGGACGTGGAACAAGGGATATCGTAGCTGTTGTCAGATGGATCTTGGCTCAAGGCAAAGAATACCAGAAAGAGGTTTACTTGTGTTTTATTGACTATGCAAAGGCATTTGATTGTGTGGATCATGACAAATTATGGATAACATTGAGAAGAATGGGAATCCCTGAGCACTTGATTGTACTCATGAGGAATCTGTACCTTGACCAGGAGGCTGTCGTTCGAACAGAACAAGGGGACACTACATGGTTTAAAATCAAGAAGGGAGTGCGTCAGGGTTGTATTCTTTCTCCACACTTATTCAATCTATATGCTGAGCAAATAATCCGAGAAGCTGGATTATATGAAGAAAAACGTGGTATCAGGATTGGAGGAAGAATCATTAACAACCTGAGATATGCAGACGATACAACTTTGCTTGCTGAAAGTGAGGATGACTTAAGGCACCTACTGATGAAGGTTGAAGAATACAGTCTGCAGTATGGATTACATCTCAACATAAAGAAAACAAAAATCCTCACAACTGGACCAATGAGCAGCATCACAATCAATGGAGAGAAGATTGAGGTTGTCAAGGAATTCACATTGCTTGGTTCTACAATCGATGCCAACGGAAGCAGCAGTCAGGACATTAGACGACATGTAGCATTGGGAAAGTCAACTGCGAAGGAACTGTTTCAAGTGCTGAGGAGCAAGGATATCTCCTTGAGGACTAAGGTGCGCCTGACACAAGCCATGATATTTCCAATCCCCTTGTATGCATGTGAGAGCTGGACAATGAATAGGGAAGACCGAAGAAGAGTTGATGCTTTTGAGTTGTGGTGCTGGCGAAGAATGCTGAAAGTACCATGGACTGCTAAAAGAACTAACAGATCTGTCCTGGAGGAAGTGCAGCCAGAATGCTCCTTGAAAGCAAGAATGGCCAGACTTCGTCTCACCTATTTTGGTCATGTTGTAAGAAGGGACCATTCCCTGGAGAAGGATGTCATGCTTGGTAGGGTGGAGGGTCGACGAAAGAGGGGGAGGCCTTCAACGAGATGGATTGATACGGTGGCTGCGATGATGGGCTCGAGTATAGCAGGGATTGTGGGGCTGGTGCGGGATCGGGCAGTGTTTCGTTCTGCTGTGCATGGGGTCGCTATGAGTCGGAAACGACTCGACGGCACTTAACAACAACAACAACAACATGCCCAGTGCACTATGTCACTTCATTTCTTGACTGCTGCTTCCATGGGCATTGATTGTGGATCCAAGTAAAATGAAATCCTTAACAACATCATTTCTGTTTATCATGATGTTGCTTAATGGTCCAGTTGTAAGGATTTTTGTTTTCTTTATATTGAGGTGTAATCCATATTGCAGACTGTAGTCTTCACTCTTCATCAGTAAGTACCTCAAGTCCTCTTCGCTTTCAGCAAGCAAAGTTGTGTTGTCTGTATATCGCATGTTGTTAATGAGCCTTCCTCAATCCTGATGCCATGCTTTTCTTCATACAGTCCAGCTTCCTGGATTATTTGCTCAGCATACAGACTGAATAAATATGGTGACAGGATACAACCCTGACATCAATATACTCACCACATAAATAGATTTTGCGATTTTGCCTCAAGTCTCTCTTTTTAAAGAAATAAAACTTTACTGAAAAAACAGACCCTTACCCCTCCATCTTCTCTCCCCATTCATTGGAAGCACTTTTAAAAAAATCTGTTTCCTCCTAATACGTATATGTAAACATAAAGGACATATAGAGTATTTGTGTGTGCTTTTTTTAATACATAATTTAATTTTGAACAGGTATATGTTCATTTGGCTCAAAATCAAAGTACAAATGTGAAAAGCCATCTCTCACTTTCCTTCCTGGAAGTCACCAACGTTTCTGTTTTCTGATGTTTGTGGAGCTTAAAAAGTACAATTGCTCAGGTCCCATCTCCCAGAGGGTCCAATTTGGTAGAGCTGGGTGGAGCTCTGGCATTTGGTATTTTTATAAAGTTCCATACAAACTCTTATGTGCAGTCCTGGTTGAAACTACTATCCTGGACTAATAAAAACTCAGTTATATTATAAAAGACAGGAACAACTAAGTCTACAAGACACTAAACCAAAACCAAACTCACTGCGTGAAGTCAATTTCAACCCATAGCGATCCCTCCTTGGGTTTCTGAGGTGGTATCACTACGGAAGTAGATTGCCCAACCTTCCTCCCAAGGAGTGGCTGGTGGGTTTGAACTGCTAGCCTTCTGGTTAGCAGTTAAATGCCTTAGGCACTACGCCACCAGAGCTGCTACAGGACACAGTAATTCAAAAATACAATATTGACTCACGCAGTATTTTTAACTGACACATTTCACAGTTACAAACTATATACATGACTAGAATACAGATAACAGTGTATCTGACCCCTGACTCAGTTATCCAGTGCTGCTGTGACAGAATACCACAGGTGGATGGCTTTTACAGACAAATTGATTCTCTCACAGTTTAGAAGGCGAGGAGTCTGAATCCAGGGCTCTCAAAGGTGGCATTTTCTCTCTGTCAGCTCTGGGGCAGGTGGATGGCTTTTACAGACAAATTGATTCTCTCACAGTTTAGGAGGCGAGGAATCTGAATCCAGGGCTCTCAAAGGCGGCTTTTTCTCTCTGTCAGCTCTGGGGAAAGGTCCTTGTCTCCTTTCAACATCTGTGGGCCTGGCATTCTTTGGAAATCTCCATGTGACTGGGCATCACTCTTCCTCTGGGTCTAGGAGGTTCTCAGTGCAGGGACACTGGGTCCAAAGGACCCGCTTTGCTCCCAGCTCTTCTTTCTTGGTGATATTCAGGTCCCTCCTTCTCTGCTCGCTTCTTTCACCTTTTATCTCTTGTAGATAAAAAGTGATGCGGGCCACACCCCAGGAAAACTCTACGTACACTAGATCAGGCCTGTGACCTGAGAAAGGATGCTGAAACCCACACTAACCCTGCCTCATTAAGACACAGAGGTCAAGATTTACACTGTATCACAAATGGAGGATAATTACGTCAGATAACATCACTACATATCTGCCAAACAACATCATTATATAACTGCAAAACCACTGAGAATCATGACCTAGGCAAGCTGACACATGTTTTTTGGGGACACAATTCAACCCATGACAATTTCTGTTTAGCTCTCTGGTTCATCTCCTGGACTCCTAACTCCTGCTTCACCACCTGGCCCACTATGCACCTTGCTAACATAAGTCTACAACTGATCACATTCGGTTGGTGATTCAAACCTACTGAGTGACTCGATGATAGAAAGACCTAGCAATCTAATCCTGTAAAGATTATACCCTAAGAAACCCTATGGAGCAGTTGTACTCTGTTACATGGGGTCGCTACGACTCAGAGGTTGATCTGATGGTACATAACAGCAGCAAGCACAAGTTGGTTATGGGAGCAGTGAGGGCCACAGGTTGAGCCTTGAGGTTCCTCCACCACAGCAAGTATGGGGAAGGAGAAAACTATAAACAGCTATGAAGCACCTATAAGAAAGGAGCAAAAGGCTGTGGAGATTCAAAGTAGTGAAGATAACATTAGATTGCTGGCTTTGGAACAGGAAGGGCTCTGGTGTAGGCAACATTAGAGCTCATCTGTGAGTTGTGGAATGAATTTTCACACATGGTGATAACAAGGGCAAGTATTTCATGAATA